GCAGTTGTCAACAATGAGACAGCACCACATAGTGTTTAAAATCATGGATGTTTAGATTGCCTAGTTTTTATCTTGGTTCTGTAACTTTGTGACCTTGGGCAAATTATTTAACCTCTTTGTGTCAACGTTTACTTATCTGAGAAAAAGGGATAACAACATGCCCAGTTTTCTAGGATTGTTATGGTGCTTAGATGGGTTAACATTTGTAAAGCAGGTGGAACAGTGTTTGTTGTAGGATAATAGCTCAGATTCATCTCAGAGGACTGAAGGGTATTTAAAATAAAACAAGATTCCTCAAATAACCAATTTTCTTAAACTTTTGGTTAATGTAAACATCCATATAAAAAAACTATACATACATATCAGAAGTGTACAACTCAGATCATTTTCACAAATTCAACACATGTGACCAGCACCCAGATCAAGACACCTCCTCATACGCACTTTCCAGTTTCTAGCCTCCCAAGGGTAACCATTAATCTGAGAGGCTGAAGCAGATCACATGAGGACAGGAGTTCCAGACCACCCTGAGCAAAGCAAGACCATGTCTCTACTAAAAATAGAAAAATTAGGGGAGGGTGGAGTGGTGGTGCGGACTGTAGTCCCATCTACTTGGGAGGCTGAGGTAGGAAGATGGCTTAAGCCTAGGAGTTTGAGGTTGCTGTAAGCTAGGCCAAGGTCATGGCACTCTAGCCCACCAACGGATCAAGATTCTGTCTAAACAAACTCTTAATATTGGCATCTCTAGGACTGGGTTGGGCTGGGTACTCTATATAGTATTATATAGAGTTTCCTTTTGGCATAGAGATAGTATCGTGACTCTTCTCTGGTCAATTATCATATTTCCTACTCCTGCGGAGTAATGACAAGAAACCTATTTTGAGGTCTCTTTTTTTTTTTTTCTTGAGACAGAGTGTCACTTTGTCACCCTCAGTAGAGTGTCCTAGCATCAGAGCTCACAGCAACCTCAAACTCTTGGGCTCAAGCAATTCTCTTGCCTCAGCCTCCGGAGTAGGTGGGTCTACAGGCACCTGCCACAATGCCTGGTTATTTTTAGAGACAGGATCTCATTCTAAAAGGCTGGTCTTGATGTGCCCACCTCAGCCTCCCAGAGGGCTGGGATTACATGTGTGAGCCACCACACCTGGCCACCAACACAAGTACTTAATTACCACCCTGTGACCCTGGAAATCTACTTTTCTCTAAGCCTCAGCAATCCATTCTCTAAAATACTCATAATGCAATCTGTTCGCAGTATTGCTATCAGGACTAAATGAAATATCACTCTCCAAGCACCTGGTACAGTGTATAATGTAGTAGCCAACCATTTTCTGACTTTCTAGTATGCAGGCACAGCATGAGGGCTTTATGTATCTTACCTCATTTATAACTCGAGCCACTCAGAATTTTGGTTTTCTCATCTGCTCCAGGTATTTCACATCTCAGCAAGGGCATCACTGTTTATCTAAATCTAGTTTTTTTCCTTGATCCCTGCTTTTTCCACACTGTACTCATTTAGTTCATCAGCAAGTTTTGCTGACTCTAAATGAAAACTCAAGTCATTCAGTTCTCTCAATTTCCACTACCACTACCCAACTGATGCCACTACTATCCTTCACTGTATCTCCATGAGAATGTAAGTTATATGTGAACAGGCTCTGTATATTATAAATCACAGCTGTAGCCACAGACCTCAGGTGTGGGGACCAGAAGCTAGGTCCCCATGTTCATTGGTTCTTGGTTCCCAATTCCAAAGAATGGTTACTGGTATTGAGTTGATGGAGTAAATGAGCAGAGCAAGCAGGTGCAAAGTACCAAAGTTCGTTAAAGCATAGTACATTCCATAGAAGGAATGAGTCAATACCTGTGAGTGGAGAAGACTCCGAGTTTAATAAGATTTCTCCCATTTATGTTGATTCCTTAATTCTTTTCTTTTCTTTTCTTTCTTTTTTTTTTTTTTGAGACAGCCTCACTATGTCACTCCTTAGAGTGCCATGGTGTCACAGTTCACAGCAACCTCAAACTCTTGGCCTTAAGTGATCCTCTTCCCTCAGCCTCCCAAGTAGCTGGGACTATAGGCACCCACCACATGCCCAGCTATTTTTTGGCTGCAGATGTCATTGTTGTTTGGCAGGCCCAGGCTGGATTTGAACCCACCAGCTTCAGTGTATGTGGCTGGCACCCTAGCCACTGAGCTACAGGTGCTGAGCCTGATTCCTTAATTCTATACTAAGTGTAGGACAGAATATTCATCATTTTCCTTGGAAAATGTGGAGAATTCCCAGAATGGTGAATCCTCCTTTTTTCAATCCTTGTATGGTGATTTCTAGGAGTTTCCATGGTATTTGTAAACTGTCTTGGCACTAGTGGGTGTGTTTTTTACTATGTTAATAAGGGTAGGTCATTTAGGGACCCTACTACCTCAACTGTGTACACGATCCAAAGACCCACCATCAAGGTCGTGATCCTATCTCCACTTTGTGGTTTCTCTGACTCTTTTGGTTGGTCAGTCCTTGAAGACCAAACATTTGGTCAGTCCTTGGCACATCATCTGTTCTTTCCTAGAAACCTTCTGGTCAGTTTGTTCCTCCTAGTAGACAAACCATTTCCTAACGTCATCTGTTTCTTTTCTTTTCTTTTATTAAAACATAACTGTGTACATTAATGCAGTCACGGGGTACAGTGTGCTGGTTTTATATACAATTTGAAATACTTTCATCAAACTGGTTAACATAGCCTTCATGGCATCCTCTTAGTTATTGTGTTAAGACATTACATCATCTATTTCTTGATGGACACCCCCTAGACAAAGTATCTGCTCCCCATCCTCCTTGTCCCAACCTAATGAAGCACCTCAGTATTGAGAACCGTTCCTGCCCCTATGACTTGAATGGATGCATGTTGCAACAAACCTTTGAAGTTAGTACTATTATTATCTCCATTTTACAAATGAGGAAACAGTCTCCTGGTGGTTAAGTAACTTACCCAAGGTCACACCATAATTAGTAAAACCAAATCCAGGTAGTCAGTTTAACTCTAGCCTGCTTGTTTATCCTCTATGCTGGTGAACTACACCAGCTTATGCTAAAGTCAATGATGAAGGGTTTTGGGGGTGGTATTAGGAGAAATTTTTGTTGAAATTCCCTAACCTGGCTCGGCACCTGTGGCTCAAGTGGCTAAGGTGCCAGCCACGTACACCTAAGGTGGTGGGTTTGAATCCAGCCCGGGGCCGCCAAACAACGACAGCTGTAACCAAAAAAATAGCCAGGCGTTGTGGCGGGCGCCTATGGTCCCAGCCACTTGGGAGGCTGAGGCAGGAGACTTCCTTGAGCCCAGGAGTTGGAGGTTGCTGTGAGCTGTGATGCCATAGTCCTCTACCCAGGGGGACAGATTGAGGCTCTGTCTCAAAAAAAAAAAAAAAGAAAAATCCCCCAACCTGAAAACTTTTGCCCAAGTTTTCCTGAAAATAAAGTTCATATACCTCTTCACACAGCATCTTAGGCACAGCATGATTTCTCTCAAGTCTCATCTCTCTTCACCGGCATCTTCTCCCAACATTCCAGCTATAATGAACTCTTTTCTATCCCTAGCAAATTCTCCTGTCTCTGTCAGAAACACTCCTCTCTTTCATCCCCACTGGAGAACCTTCCCTAATTTCTCAATTCTGAGGAGTTTTAACAGGTAGTACTTTTTACCCCAGCAGGCACCATTACTAAAATTATTTGTTTACAGCAGGTAAACAACAGTCCTCCCTTAACCCCACTTTCCCATTTCAGTCACCAGAAGACAATAGCAGTACGAAAGTATTAAATATAATAAGAAATTTTAGGACAGAGACCATGTTCATTAATTTTTATTAGAATATATTGTTATAATTGTTCTATTTTATTATTAGTTGTTATTAATCTTTTACTGTACATAATTTATAAATACATACTATAGATATATATAGCTACATGGGGGAAAAAAATGTAACTACAGGGCGGCGCCTGTGGCTCAAAGGAGTAGGGTGCCGGCCCCATATGCTGGAGGTGGAGGGTTCAAACCTAGCCCTGGCCAAAAACTGCAATAATAATAATAATAATAAGATAAAATAACTATAGCCCTCCCTGCATACTCAAGTTTCGGCAGTAAGCCCTGCCTATCTTGGGGTTTTGCATCCTACAGTGTTTTCAATTGCATTTGGTTGGGAAAAAAATTGCGCGCAAGTGGACCCACGAAGTTGAAACCCTGTGGTGTTCAACGGTCAAGTGTATATAAAGAGTCCGGTGTAATCCGCGGTTTTCGGTATCTTACCAGGGGGTCTTAAAAACGTATCCTGTCAGAGGCCGGGCGCCGTGGCTCACACCTGTAATCCCAGCAATCTGGGAGGCCGAAGTGGGCAGATCGCCTGAGCTCACGAGTTTGAGACCAGCCTGAGCTAGAGAGAGACCCCTATCTCTAAAAACAGCCTGGCATTATGGTGGGCGCCTGTAGTCTCAGCTACTTGGGAGGCCAAGGCAAGAGAATCACTCGAATTCGAGAGTTTGAGGTTGCTGTGAACTAGGCGCCAGGGCGCTCTACCGGGGGTGACAGTGAGACTCTGTCTCAAACAAACAAACAAACAAAAATATCCCCTCCCCCGCCCCCCGAATAAGAGGGATTTTTAAGGTCTTATTGTCCGGTGCTGCGCGCCCAGTGCCTAAGAAACGCCTGGAATGCAATAGGTACATAAAGACTATTTGCTAAATAAAGATATCAAAGGGCAAGGATTAATTTTAATTTATTGATTTACATGGGAAAAGACTGTGGCGCCTGCAGGCGAGGTGTTTTGTTCTGAGTCAGTTGCTAAGCGACAGAGGTGAAACTTGAAACCTTGCCGGATTCCGGGACAGTGCGGGTCATCCCAGCCCCTCCCTTCCGCTGCTCCTGCGGGCTCCACCTACTTCGGTCTGCGCCGTCGCCGCGACCAGTTTGGCCCTCTGACGGCCGCCGTAAAGCGTCGCCTCTGTTGCCGTGGGAAACGACCCCGGACGTGGGAGGGGGCAAAGACGTTTCCCGCCGGCGGGAGTTGTGGCTGTGACTGAAAGAGGGCCTCAGAGGCGGTGGGTCCCCGCTCTGCAGCACGATGGCGGACCAGATTTATTTGGAAAATATAGACGAGTTCGTCACGGACCAAAACAAGATCGTGAGGAGATAGGACTGGGGAACGGGGGCGAGCGACTGGGGGCCTGGGCCTGGCTAGGGCGGTTGGAGCCTCGACCTCTCTGTATGTGGCCTCGTGGGAACTGGCCAAAGGGAGACAGGTCCCCGTGGCTTTAGCCCTAGGGCTGGTGAGGACCCACCATGGGGTTCTCTGACGGGCGCGCGGTCCGCGTGCCTTGTCCGGGAGGCGTGCTGGGAGCCCTCCCTGGGGCTTGGACCACGAGATTGGGCGGGGAGAGTATTTCTGAGGCTTCCCTACACCTGTCTTATAAGGTGGTTGGAGTTTAAAGCTCCAAGTTTACAGTTGTGGAAATTATGTCGCATCGAGGTTAACTCACAAGTTGTTTAACCTCCAGACCCTGGGTTTCCTCTCCCTGGAAATACAAAAACACTGATAGAGGGTTGACCTGCCTCACAGAGGTGATGTAAAGATTAAGAGGATGGATGTGAATGCACTTTGCAAACCGTGGTGATTGAATGCCTGCTGTGAGCAAAGGCATTTTGCATACGTATTGCATTTAGTCTTTACAGTGACCCTTATACACGCCCCCCTCCATCGGTGCTAATATTCCTAGAAGAGAAAATCGAAGTCGAGGGGCCAAATAATTTATTTGCTTGTCAGTAAGCGTTAGGCAGGTTTCGAATACAGATCTGCCCATCCTCTAATGCTTTCTTCTACATTACACTGCCTTAGCCTAGTCTATGTAAGTCTTCTAATTTTCAGAAGCTCAGCATTTAGATCGGAAGAGACTCAGATGAGAGTCACAGGCTTACTTGGTCAAGGAAGGCTTAAGACTTGTTATCTGTAGTTCCCAGTCAAATCTGATAGACTATTCATCTACTTTATTCATTTTTTTTTTTTTTTTGAGACAGTTTCACTATGTGGCCCTGGGTAGAGTGCTGTGGCGTCACAGCTCACAGTAACCTCAAACTCTTGGGCTCAAGTGACTTTCTTGCTTCAACCTCCTAAGCAGCTAGGACAGGCGCCTGCCACAACACCTATTTTTTTCCTTGTAGTTGTCATTGTTTTTGGCAGGCCTAGTTGGGTTCAAACCTGCCAGCCCAGGTGGATGTGGCTGCTGCCCTAGCTGCTAAGCTACAGGTGCTGAGCCTATTAATGTTTGTATGGTTGCAGCTTTCCTAATACGTTTCTGAATCATACACTTCAAAATTATTTAGCTTTCTTTTTTTCTTTTCCCTTTTTATTTTTGAGACACAGTGTCTGGTTGCCCAGGCTAGAGTGCTGTGAAGTCAGCTTAGCTCACAACCTCAAATTCCTGGGCTCATGCTATCCTCCTGACTCAGCCTCCTAAGTATCTAGAACCACAGGTGTTGGCCACAATGCCTAATGTTTCTATTTTTAGTGGGGACTGGATCTCACTCTTGTCCAGAATAGTCACTAACCCCTGAGCTCAATCAATGCTTCCTGCCTTGGCCTCCCAGCATGCTAGGATTATAGGCATGTGCCACCATACCCAGCCTAAAATTATCTAGCTTTTGGATGAGGTTTAGGGTAGTTTTGGATGGTAGCCCCCCAAAGATAAATAACTTGGTGCTGCCTATACAGATAGATCTTGGCAAAACTGCAGTGTCATCTATTGTGGTTTATAACGCATAATCATCTAAGGATATGAATCTTTAAGAGCAAGCCCTTGAGACTGATCTGTACTCAGGAGCCATCTAATAAAATATTAAAAAAATTTCTTCTTCTTACAGGTGACATACAAATGGCTGAGCTATACATTAGGGGTTCATGTTAACCAGGCCAAACAGTAAGTCCAATTTACTACCAATTTTAATAATGTTGGAGTTGTTTTGTTTTTAACTCAACAGATAGCTTCTAGATTAGAACTAATTTCCTATTTTGTGGGTAAATAGAAAGAATACTATTTTTACTATTTTTTTTTAGTACTTTTTGCCTCTTTTAGGAAATTGGTGGACTTGTACACCACTATGTGTGGTAATAAAGTTACTAGATTTATTTGCAGCCTCTGGTTCAGGGGTCCTCAAACTTTTTAAATAGGGGGACAGTTCACTGTCCCTCAGACCTTTGGAGGGCCGGACTATGGGCTCCAGGACAAGTCAGCTGCTAAGCAGGACAGGCAGCAGCAACAAAAAAAACAACCGGCGGGCCGGATAATTGTCCTCTGCGGCCACCTGTGGCCCACAGGCGGTAGTTTGAGGATGCCTGCTCTGGTTAATATCACTTTGTTATTTCAAACTGATTAAATGGGCTAGCCAATTCTGTTTACATCTCAGATTTATGTTTGTTTTTGTATATCTTCAGTACATTTTCACATATGCTCCTTAAGCCCATCTCTGGGTGTTATTGAAATACTTCCACAGTGAGGTCAACCAGTGTTTGACACAAGCTGTATGACAGTATAAGACAGGGGAGAGCTGTTCAAACGAAACTAAAAAGAGTGTTTAGGATGGTACACATCATTGCCCTTCTAGAATTTTGCCATATTACCTTTCTTACTGAAACTTGTGGTCCAACTTGAGGCCAAAAGAGAAAAGGCAAGCTTTTGAATTAACTTTAGAATTTTTTGACCTGCAAAGGTTTAATGTTGTCTGTGTCTCAAGGGCAGGAGTTGGTGAACAGGCTGAGGACACATGCTAGGTTAAATGCTCATTTACTTTTATTCCTAAAGGTGGTCTATTCCTTAAGTCATAGGAACTTTCTTTGACTCATAAGAATATTCCACAAGTCTTAGAAAGTCCCTGATCTCTGAAGTGGGTGATCTGTCTTTATCTGGGTTTTTGTTACACAGATCTAGAAGTCTGATTTTTTTTTTTTTTTTTTGGCTGTGGTTTTTAAACTTTCAGGACTAAAACTCTTAGCCCAAGGATGGATTTGGATTGGTTTTGAGGGTCTGAAATTGTCTTAGACCAGCCCTGGCCCAAACCCAGGTAATTTTTAGAATAGACATCTATATAAGAGTTATTCATGGTGGATATTTAAATATGAAATGAAGCAACTGTTAATATATAAGCCTGTTTTAAAAATACATATTGAGGATTGAAATTTCCTAAAGATGAAATAAAGATACTTGCAGTTTTACCATGGCTACCCTGATTACCTATAATTTTGTTTGATTTGGTTTTGGGTGGGTTTTTTTGTTGGTAGGGGTTTCTTTTGTTTGTTTGTTTTGTTTTTGTTTTTTTTTGAGACAGGCTATATTGCCCCGGTTGTCCCGGCTGGAATGCAGTGGCACAGTCATAGCTCATTGTAATCTGTAGCTCCTAGGCTCAAGTAATCTTCATTCCTCAGCCCTCTTAGTAGCCAGGACCGCTGGCATATGCTACCACAGCCAAGCAAAAAAAAATTTTTGTTGTAAAAATGGGGGTCTTGTGTTGCCCAGGCTGGTCTTGAACTCCTGGGCTCAAGTGATGCTCCCACCTGGGCCTCCCAAAGTCCTGGGATTATAGGTGTTAGCCACTATGCCCAATCTACTTATAACTTCTATAGATGTACACACTGTCTAGCTTCTTCCTGTCTAGTCAACTTCATTCCGTAGCACTTTCTACTTCCTTATTGTATTCTAGCCATATTTGCCTTTCTCTTCTTCAAATATCTTAAACTCATTCTCACTCTAGGACCTTTGTGCCTTCTGCCTGTAATGACCTTTTAGCTGTCCTCATCCTTTAGGTTTTAGCTCAGATTTTACATGTTACTTCATGTAAGGAGTCTTGCCTAATCCTCTGTTTCAACTAATCCACCCTTTCCTAACTCTTCGTCATACCATTCTCAACACATTCTAATCATTTTTTTCACAATTATTTTTTTAAATATATTTTAAGATATAATTTACATACTATGTAATTTCACCCATTTAAAGTCTATAATTCAGTGGTTCTTAATATATTCATAGAGTTGTACAGTTATTACCACAATCAATTTTAGAACATTGTCATCACCCCAAAAAGAAATCACGTTCCCATTATCAGTCACAATTCCTCCTCTACATCCACCTCCTCAGCCCTAACAACTACTAAGCTTTCTATAAGTAGATTTGCCTATTCTAAACATTTCGTGTAGATGGAATCACATATAGTTCTGTATATCTGGTTTCTTTCACTTAGCATAATGTTTTCAAGGTTTGTCCATGTTATAGTATACATTAGTACTTAATTTCTTTTTATGGCTAAATGATACTCCAGTATATGGTATGTTAGTTTCCTAGAGCTGCCATATCAAAGTGCTACAAATTAGGTGGCTGAAAACAACACAAATTTATTGTCTTATAGTTCTGGAGACTAAACATCCCAAATCAAGTTTTTTGCCAGGGTCATACTCCCTGTTAAACCTGTGAGAAGGAATCCCCCTTACCTCTTCCAGCCTTGTAATGATTTGCTGGTGATCTTTGGCGTTTCTTGCCTTAGAGCTGTGTAACTGCAGTCTCTGCCTTCATCGTCACATGGCATTCTCCCTGTGTGTATCTTGTAAGGATGCCAGTCATTTTGGATTAGGAGCCCACCCTACTCCTATATGATCTTGTCTTGACTAATCACATCTGTAATAACCCTCTTTCTAAATAAGGCCACATTTAAGGTGTTGAGGGGTGGGATTTCACTGTATCTTTTCTGGGAGACACTTTAGCCATTATGTGGATATACCAAATTTTGTTTATTCATCAATTAATTGATCAACACTTGGGTTATCATATTTTTTTTTAATCACTACCTTTATTTTGTAGGCAGTAAAACTAAGGCATTTCATGAAAAATGAAATCCATTGTACAATGCAAAATATACTCAAAGATCTTGAAACAGAATTAGTATCCTAAGTCTTCATTTCCCACCTTTAGTCAATAAACATTATTCATGGCTCGGCGCCTATGGCTTAAGCGGCTAAGGTGCTAGCCACATACACCTAAGGTGGCGGGTTCGAATCCCCAGCCTGGGCCTGCCAAACAACAATGATGGCTGCAACCAAAAAACGGCCGGGCGTTGTGGCGGGCGCCTGTGGTCCCAGCTACTTGGGAGGCGGAGGCAGGAGACTCGCTTGAGCCCAGGAGTTGGAGGTTGCTGTGAGCTGTGATGCCATGGCACTTTACCCAGGGGGATAGCTTGAGGCTCCGTCTCAAAAAAAAAAAAAAACATTATTCATCTTAAAGGAGGTAAAAAAATTACTCATGTTAAGCATACTGAAAATAAACATTACTTAAACATTACCTCTCTAGCCTGTTTTCATTCATTAACACTCTGGAGTAAAAATAATTATAGTTTTTGTTATGACTTCATTTCTTTAAAATATTGCCTAAAATCAATTTCATTTGGGAAACTTAATAATAACTAATACCATTTGACTTGAAAAAGAATTATGTCTTAAGCATCAAGCCAGAGACATAGCAAGAAAATTAGACATTATCACTTGAAGGTTGTCTCACTCTGCTGTTCACTATCTAATCAGACACCCTTAAATCAATTACAGGAGAAAGTCTAAGAAATTCAGGGATCAATCTCCAAAGTACTTCTGGGAATGTGCTAATACACTGGACAGTTAGAACAACAATAGCAGTAGAACATCTTATTTAAACTTTTGAGATAAAACAATATAGAAATTGGGACCCTTGGGAATTTTTTTTCTTGTTTTGGCAACAAGATCATTTATACTTCATAGGCTTTATACTTGTATCATTCTGTAAGGTTTAATAAAATAACCAAGAGATCTCCATAATACACCTGAAATTTAAAAACACTGCATTTCAGCTTTTATTAGGCTGAGTTTCAAGAACATTCAGTCAGTCTTGATTATTCTTGGGACTACTTCAATTAGGCCACCTTACAAAAGCAGGACCCTAAAAATGGCTCTGACTACATAGTTCTTAGGATAAATGTGTTTATACTTTGACTGAATAGCCACATGGATGTTATAAAGATGGCGATTGTACACCACTATTTGGTGAAATTTCTTGCCTTTATGTTTTCTTTAGTCTTTTTTATCAGTAGACAAAAATTTTCTAAAAAGTCTGTATCTTTTAAGTACAGTCTGTCACCTGTTAAAAGGAGCATCCCATCAGCAGTCAGTAACGTGATTGACAGACATCTTTCCAGCCCTTCTAATGCACAATCCAAACAAAATTAGTGCAAGTCAGACAGAGAGATGGTTTTAAAATCTTCTTAATTGATAATACTGAGGGGATGCCAACTAAATTTCTTTTGATATGAAACATTCAGTTGCTTGAGATAACCACTGGCAGCCCACCACCTTGGTCAAGTCAGGGTAAACAATCAGTGGCTCACACAGGCAGCATAGGAAGAAGGCCGGGTTGAAGCAGCGAGCGGCTCCTTGGGAGAAGGGAGTCAGCCAGGCTTTCCAGTCATGCAATACTCAGATGTCAGTGTGTAGTCGAGGTGCGCATACAGGCACAGGAAATGGCCCAGATGTTGAGGGATGTGGCTTCTGGTGTGGTGCCCCTCCAGAACTGGGGCAGGCACGGTACCCAGGGACCACAGCAGCAACACCTGTAACTACATTTTGACTGATGAACGGTCCTGTTGTGAACATTTGTATACAAGTGTTTATGTGAACACAAGTTTTCAGCTCTCCTGGGTATACACATTATTGGTATTTCTAATTTCTAGGTCATATGGTAATTCTATATTTAATATTTTGAGGAACTGATAAACTGTTATTCAAAATGGCTATACTATCTTACAATCCCAACAATGTATGAGGATTCTAATTTCTCTACATTCTTATCAGCACGTTTTTTTTTTTTTTTGAGACGGAGCCTCAAGCTATCCCCCATGGCATCACAGCTCA